GTTAACCAACAAGCAAAGCATTTCTAATTCAGGCCAAACATGCAGATGAGAAATTAATGCACCCACCCAAGCTCCCTAGTTGGAGACTTGAGGCTATTAAGGAGCAAATGGTAGACCATGAAGACATTTAGTTAATTCCATAAACTCATCTGAAAAAGGCAACCCCTTCTGCCGCACTTACAAATTTGTACATATCTTTACCTAGTGATCCTTTTTATTCTCTACATTCTCCTTCGGGAGAGCCTTAATGCGTCTGCTTTAAATGCCAAGGTTAATGCTACCACTCAAGCACCAACCAAAGTACAGAACATAGAAAACTCTAACCTTCCAAAGACTGCTCACAAGAATTGACAGATACAAAATAAATGTTCTTTTATACCATTTGTGCATGGAAAAGACCATTCCTAGTTTCAACTACTCATAAATGATATTCATTGAGTAAATATCAGTTTTACATACATTTACAAGTATAGTAGTTTTTAAGGACCATGCATAATGTTAATTTTTTTTCCAAAATTACTTTAAATTTTCTGAAATTCAGCTCACTAGCTGCAATGTGATATTGTGTGCATATTTTCTGCCTGATAAATCCATTAAATTTATCAAATATTTATTCAGCTAAGAATAATGCCAAAGTTAATTGAGCAACAAAGATAAGCCCACACTTTTGCTCCCTCAGACCACAAATAGCTTCATACCCTAGCTGATCACAGGGATGCCATCAGCATGACACAAATGCCCCAGCCTTGAAATGAATAATTGAATAATTCCACCCCAATTTTCAAGATGAAAGTGCCAAATTCAAGATGGCATTAAGTAGCTGTGGTTCTGGCCAAAACAGAAAATGCTGAAAGGCTGGGCAAAAATATAGCTTGTTAAAGTCTTTCAAAAGAGTGAAGAAAGAGAGGGAAAATGCCATAAATTTATCTTGAAGATAAAAATTCCAGACAGATTCAAGTAAAATTTGAGGCAGGCTATCCAGGGATATTATGACTCTATGTTTGCAGAGCATTTGTTGTCTTTGGAATATAGCATGTTGTGATCTTGAAAGATCATTCACTCAAAAGTTTGTCTTTCCAGCTTGAGGTGTTCGTAATCTTCATTACAAACTCCATTTCCTTTGTTGCTGATTTCTAATACCATAGCCTTTAAAGCACTGATTTACCTGTGACAATGAAAGTTTCAGCAATAGAAGAGGCAGTTTCATCTTTAAGATGTCACCTGAAGCACATACTTGAGCAGTCATTTTCAATTCTTGTTTACCCATTTCAAACCATGTGACCACGTGGCTAAAAAGGTTTATTTACATAGAAAACTCAGGACTCAATGTCTAATTGTTAAACAGGCTATCAAACAACTTCTTTGAAAGCCAGGGGCATGTTGAAACAACACATAAGCTCTTGTGTTTTATCATAAGAATTAGAATGTTTGCACAAATAAATTTAAGACATATTAAATATAAGATGACTCGCCTCGTTTGGCTCACCAAGTGTCCGTATGTTCCCCAGGCTTCACCTTTGGCCACAAACACTGTAAACTGAAAGAACTCACTCGATATCCTTTTTTCTTTGAGATCTTTGTCCTCATGAGGTCCTCCCCGCATCATTACGACCCTCCCATCATCAGCTAAAACCCTAACAGCATCAAATCTTTTCTTGAAAATGGTCCCCAAGTCAAGAGTCAACTGGCGCAGTACAAGATTTCCAAGATCAGAGGAGTATGCGCAGTGATTTCGGTAAACATTTTACATGAACAACCCTCCAGCACTTTGGAAAGATGCAGATTTTTTCCACCAAAAGTAGCCCATTCTCTGAGTTAGGAACTTCAACTTTTCTTTTGCAAAAAATATCAAGAGACTTAACAAAAAGATTCTACGTACATTACGATTGTTACGATGCTAACCTCATCACCACAAAACACCTGTTCAACCCAACACCTTGTTGTAGATTTCGTCCAAGGGGCCATGCCTGTATGAAAAATTACCTCTCAGACCTCTCGCATCATTGAAACCTTATAATTTCAAGGGTTTTGGGCTTGATTGGGACTCGAAAGACCAAGTGTAACTCTGTTTCGTTGGAGATTTATATGCCCCCACCTTTAGCCTGCTAAAAGGTATAGATAATAGCTGTATTTAAAATTAGAAATTTTTCACCTTAGTGCCTGGCGAGTTCTCCTGAATAGACCATTTTTTGGTGCATTATTTTATGTTATTTTATTTTTCTTAGCAATAGAAATGGACCTCGCAAGAGATTCATATGTTTTTAATGGTGCTTAATGAGATATTAATAAATCATGTATTTACATATTTTTTAATTACAAGCAGGTTAGATTTACTTTTCTATTTCTTTTTTTATTGTAAAGGGCCATTGGGCTAAATGGAAATGGCACTACATAAATTTTGGTGTTATTATTATTATTATTATTATTATTATTATTATTTATTATTATTATTATTATTATTATTATCATAATGAGTTCAGTTATAAACAATGCTGATTAGAGGGCCTGTTCCCACACCGACCACGATTGTTCAACATTCCTTTCGGCTGACATTTCGCAAGCAAAGAATGGTGAGTTCCTTATTAATGTTTATTTCACGCGCTTGAGATGTACTCATACTTTTTGTCTTTCCACATGACTACATTTGCGCTTTTCTTATCGTACGAAAATCCTATCAACTGTAGTTTCCATCGTATTGTAATAATAGAAATACATCATTGGTAAAAAAGTTCAAGCCCTTTCCTGCGCTGACCGACAATACTATCCAGCAGTTCCAAATCTCCAAACCTTCCACAAAATCCTTATGAGCAAGTAGCATTTAGGACAGCAACAACCATTGCTAAGACAAATCCTCAAAGAACAGATAATATCCTACAGAAAGAAGTGTTCACTAAGACATACTCGTGAGAGAAAAATTGTTACGAGGGAGAGAAAACCGAATACACCATGGAGTTTCGTGTAAACATTTGTCGCTAATACAGAGAAAACTGGACGTACTACTGAATCGTTTAGGCATGTCAACCTCAATTTACACGGGAGCATCAATTAAGCCCGTTTCTAAAGCAAAGAAATACTTTTTATGAGCTCGCCTATACCCGTCCCAACCCCTATCCCCCCTTCAAATCGGAGTATGTCCCAGTCTCGCCTTCCTATCTTCAACCCGTATCTCGCCGTTAAAGAATCTCGTATCCCACATCCCGCCTCGATTTTAAGCCTCATCCTGCATCCTGCCAAACCTATGTTGGACCCTCTCTACCGCTTTCATTCAGTATATGGGATTCACTGTTGGATTTAGTTGAGTAAGCACGCACGAAATCTGTGGAGAGCACGTTAAAGTTGTTAAATATGTTTTGATTACCTTTATAACTAAGATGCAGTCCTCCCTTGTTTAGGCCATTCTCTGTGATCTTTAGATGCTGGATAAGTTTCCATCCATTCTGACGGCAATAGCTCTTTAGATGTTTATTGGCATCTTTCACTGCTCTATTGAATTTATCCCTTGTACCTTGTAGAAGTAAGCTTAAATATAGCGGAGAATGAATCTTCGATTTGTCTACGATCGATTCAGCATCTTGCAACAGTTTTTATATTTAAGGTTATTGGAGCCGACATAGAGAATGTCTTGGTCCGGCGAATGCTCCAGGTTAGCTTTGAAGTTGTTCTATATAGCTTTTGAGGTGGCCCTACTGAATAACTTGACCACTGCTCGATGGCCAACGGCTTTTTCTAGCTTTTCACAACATATATTTGTCTTTGTTGCAGAAGCTCCAATTGATAGGGTTGTACATCAGTGTTGTAGCCAAAAATGCTTGTCACAGACATGTCCAACTTCACTTCCAAAATGGCTAAACGAAACGAAGTTGAGTAATGAATATGTAACCGGTTGCAAGAAATGGATTACAAGTTATAGTTGTCACAATTCAAGGTAAAGAAATTAACAAACGAGAAAACAAAAACAAAAAAAAGACACTTACAAACGTCGCCGAGATCTGTGTCAACTGCCAAATTAAAGACGATGTAAAGCGACGTAAAGCAACGTAAAACGACGTAAAGCAACGTAAAGCGGCGTAAAGCGATCGATGGAGACGGTATAGACAGTTAGACGGTTCAAATAGTTCAACGGTTGATCCGAATTAATAAAATCCGCGGTGAAGACTAATACAAGCGACATAAACAAAAGGAAATTATAGAGGAAAGAGTAACAGAATATTGATGAAAGTTATGCGCGCAGAACAAAAGGCCTGAATGAAGTGTGACAAAAGAAGAGTACAAATTTGTAATCAACCGAATTTTTGGCGGCAACAGTAATGGAATTATCGGAGACCTTAGCAATGGACTGTGTCCCATCCTCATTGTTCCTTTGTTTTTGTGTTTTAAATCTTTTTCTTTTCCTTGCTAACAACTTGCCATTGGTTGCGCATTTGTATTGTCAGAAGGTATTTTGACTCCTCCTCTACGATGGCCCACAAGGGACTCGCTGCAAAGAAAAAGAAACGCTGCAAAGAAAAAACAATCGCTGCAAAGAAAAAAAGTGAACGTTGCAATTAAAAAACATGCTGCAAACAAAAAGATGAACGTTGAAAAAAAAATGCTGCCAACAAAAAAGTGAACGCTGCAAGCAAAAAAGTGATCACTGCAAACAAAAAAGTGAATGCTGCAAACAAAAAAGTGAACGCTGCAAACAAAAAAGTGATCGCTACAAACAAAAAAGAACAGATCACGCGTGCGCATTATGCCCGAGGGACTGGATAGAGTTTTGTTCGTCTCCAGAGCCTACGAGTATTTCCCTCCATTTTTCAAACGTCCGTTCTCGTTGAAAAACTAATCAAAGAGTATTCGTAATGTTTTGTAGCCATTGTGGCATTGGGGATGCTCAAGAGAGTATCTGCGATAATTGTGTGGCAGAAAAAGTTGTAAACGAAGTGATAAAGCGCTTTTTTCATCGTGGCTATCTTTATGACGCTATTGTGGGTCTTCTCAAGAAACGAGAAGGACTTTAAATGTGTGTGCGAACACTGAAGAGACGTCTGAGATGTCTCAGGTTAAAAAGGAAGGGCAATGCAAAGATAATGGACGATTCAGAGATAAAAAATGTCATTCGTGAAGAAATGGAAGGCCCCGGAAGTTTATCAGGTTACAGAAGTATTTGGCACTCCCTGCGATTGCAGCACCATGTTCATGTTCCACGTAATTTGGTCGCAAAAATAATGAAGGAAATTGATCCTGATGGGGTAGAGGAGAGGAGATCTCGAAGGTTAAAGAGAAGAATGTTCAGCTCAAAAGGAGCCAATGCATCATGGCATTTTGACGGTATTTGTTTTTTACTTCGTAAATCATAGTGGTGTATTGTAAATGTACATGTAGGAATGTAAAATCTTGCATCTAGCCTCATGCCCTTTCCACTTCAAGATTAGTTGGTTAGACGACTTATCTACTTAGATTTCTAATTTACAAATTTTATCTTTTTTAGGATATGACAAACTCAAACCTTATGGTTTCCCTATTCATGGTGCAGTGGATGGCTTCAGTAGAAGAATTTTATGGTTAGAAGTAACCCGGTCTAACAATGACCCTAAAGTAGTTGCAGCCTTCTACTTAAAACAAGTAAAGGAACTAGGTGGTTGCCCTTTGCTCCTGGTGACTGATTGTGGCTCAGAAAACGGTATTGCCGCTTCTATTCAGTGCATGTTTCGTACCAATGATCAAGATGAACTGGCAGGTGTAAAGTCTCATAGGTACTGCTCATCACCTGCAAATCAACGAGTTGAAGGGTGGTGGTCCTTTTTCAGGCGAAATAGATCAAACTGGTGGATAAGCCTTTTCAAGGACATGGTTGATTATGGATTGCTTTGTGTGGGAAACACTCTTCATATGGAGTGCTTGTGGTTCTGTTTTTCAAAGCTTCTTCAGGATGACTTGGACAAAGTGAAAGATCATTGGAATAGTCACAAGATTTCCAAGTCTCCATATAGTTCTGTTCATGGGGTACCAGATGTTATGTACTTCCTACCAGAATATCATAGACATGAAGAATGTCTAGTTTGTGTGCCAGAACAACTAGTAGAGGATATGGATGTACATTGCGAGAGTGAGAGGGAAGACAATATCTACCTTGAATACTTTGAATATATTTTGGAAACTAAAGGCTGGGTTTACCCTAGTACACCAAGAGAGGCCATGAGATTATATCAACACATAACAGAATTGCAGAATGATTAACTGAAAAAAAATTAATGACTTGGGACATTTCTTCTACAGCGAAGCAATTCCTGTGTGAATTGAAAGTGATATTCAAAGGCTTGTCACTGATCAGTCTATTGAATCAAATAACTAAAGATGACATTGTAAAATTGGCATAACTTTTTTAATGTTTCATCAACACAACAGTTAGCATACATGTTAAGGCCACCATCCAAAGTCTGAAAATTACATTCAATTTGATAATTTTATTACAGTATTAACAATCAATACTACCAAGGTATAACATTTTGACATGTAAAAGCTTTGATCTGCACATATGAATGAATAAACATTACTTGAAATTTGTGGTTATCAATATTGTTTTATAGATCACATCTTTTAAAGCCACAAACAGTGGGAGAGGACAGTGGTCAGTTTGCATTCCAGGGGATTATTGACATATGGACAATGGAAAGGCTTCCTTGACAGAAATCAACATGTCACAGAATGGCTGAAATATAAACATGAATTGTCACTGGTTTTTCTACCAATTTTTATAACACTGTCTTCACATGACAAAGAATGGGAAACCCTTTGCTGTTTTTCTGTCCACACCCAATCACCTATTTTTCTGATTGACCTTATCACAAAAACAACAACACCACCAAGATAACTAAACTCAAATTGATCAAAAATGTGTGAGTAATAACATTGTTTTAACAAATTGACAAGAATTTTAACAAAAAATTGTTTTCCTTGATATATTTTTATAAGTAGTCAACATTGTACATTATTTTAAAATTCTTTAGTTCTAAGAGCCATTTAAGGTAAAGTCTAACTCAACATACAAAATTTCAAAACCTTTTAACCATTTAACTCACAGATCAAATTTGTAATTCTCCTAAATGTCAACTATACAATTCTTATCATGTTAGTTCAGAGAAGTTAGTATTGGATCAACTTATTATCCCCAAATTGATATTTTTCTTTACTCTCAACACTTGTCTGGTTGACATTGTATTGATATTGTAAAGATAAATTCTGTCTTGATCACTAATGGAAGTTAAAGGGTTAAAAACACTCAAAAATTTGACCACTGCACAATGTCATTAAACAATATTGAAATGCCATGCCTCTTTATTTTGCAGTAATTCACTGAATTCTTCTGACAGCTCATTGTATGACTGGTATGATGATGGGATTTCTAGTAGTGGTCCACATGTATGTGCTACAGGTCTACGAGAGGTGCCCTCAAGAGCCGAAAATGTCACCTCAATGCTATCACAGCTTATGATATCACTTCCAGTAATAAACTGCAGGAACACTGACAACGAACTTCCCTGTAATGAACGGATATATTTTTTAAAATGGTCCAGGCGCTGTCGTTCTTGGTCAGTTACTGGCTCTGATTTGATTAATTTGACAATCTTTTTGGCAGTAGGCCTCTTAATGTCATAAAGATTCTCTAGAGTTACAAGAGATTGGAAATCTGAGAAAGCAATCAAAGGTTTCAAAATAAGTGCCCAGCAATTTGTCACATATTGAGGCTTCTGAATGATTTCCTGGTGAGCAAGTTCAGAAACAATCTGCAATATGTTTTCTTTTGTGGGAGTTCGATAACACTTGTAATTAGAAAGAAAATCAAACATGTCATCATTATCATCATCAAAACTTTCCTCAAGACATTTCTCAAGAGTCTCTCTTTCATCTTCTGAAATGTATAGACGGAAGGAAGAAAGCAAAAAATCACTTGTTATGCTCTCTTCACCAAAAAGGCATAATGCAACAAAAGCTCATGACAATGGAAGAGGAAAATATCTCTCCTTTATGTACCCATACATTAGAATTCTGGCAATTGCTTGCCATTCAGCTCTTTGATAATCATGTCTAATAACAGGCACTTTTTCTGGAGCTCCTAATGTTAGTGAGTTAAAGAATTGATTCCAGAAAGTGGATAATGCATCACGTAAAACACCAGCCCCCTTTCCCTTTTCCTCCCTACCATTGCTGCCAATAAAGGTCACATCTAGATTAACATGAAGTATTGTAGGATCCTTAAAGGTTTCGATCAAATTATCCTTAAGTAAAGCCCTATACAGAATTATCTTTTGAACAGAGCTTCAACATCTACAGCATCTGCACCTATTAAAAAATCAATCAATTTATGAATAAATAACTGCTGCATAATGTACATTTAAAAACTGATTTTAGCAATGTTCTTCTTGTATCATGTTATTTACCATTCTATAGTGTCTCTGTATTTCTTGACTGAACATGCACAAGCTTTTATTGCATTTAATATGACTTTTTAAATTAATAAGAATATCGCATGGGTACACAATTCAGAGAAAACTTACAAAAGCAGATTTTCACTGACCTGTGACTGCTGAGTGAACCCCTTGAATTAATGTATCTGAGTCTGCAGCTGTCTGAGCTGTGGATATGTTGCTTGCAGCTGTCTGGGTTATGAATGTGCTACTTGTAGCTGTATGGGTTGTAACTGTGTTCCTTGTTGCTGTGTGGGTTGTAACTGCAGTGTTCCTTGCCACTGAGGGGGTAGTAATTGTGTTCCCTGTTGCTTTGAGGAATGTGGATGTATTTGTGACAGTATGGTTCAGCCTACAGCCTATATCTCCATCACTTTCAGTTCCTTGTGCCATTTTCGTCAACTGTAATGTGAATATGAAAACTGAATCATTAATCATCATCACTACAGTCAAATCAAACGAATCTTTAACCCCTCACTCACTGAGAAGAATGAAAGGGAATTGATTCTTAAATGAGCTAATAAGCATATTACCATAATCTGAATAAAAAAAAATTAAAATCAAACCAATCTGAAATATGTCAAACCAAGGAAAATTTGAACCACAGTATGTATATCAATCAAGATTTAGATCAATTTATTTCCACGAAGGGCTTTTTCGTTACGAAAAATAACACTGTAATCTATGGTAGTAATTAAAATCTTCATACCTCTTCGTAAGTTGGCAAACTGACATCACTTTCATCACTGTAATACGATTTCAAAAACAAAGCATCCACGATAGCTGTTGTTTTGCAGAGGTATAAGGTGATTCGGCCGTAAGCCTTCCCTAATTCCTCCTTGTATCGTTGTAGTGTAAACGGTTCCGTTCCCCCTGGAAGGCACTTCACTTCGGTTCTGTCAGGATACAACAACGTAAAACTACTGGCACCATATAAGCTTAAGTCGCTGTTGAACTTCACCATCTTTTCGGCTCCTTTCCTGAGAAGTTCCTCCGCACCAATTGATGGAAAGACTTTAGGCGGCAATGACGACCCTCTAATCGCTTTCAATTGTCCGTCTTTTAACCTGATAAGACCTATTTGTATAGTGACTTCATTCTCGCTGTTTTCCTTTTTCACTTTCTTCACAGATTTACTAACAAACCTCGAGCTTCGTTCTTTCCTTTTTTCTATCTCTGTATTCGTCAAACGTAAGTATAGTGTTATCTTCATCTTTCACACCTTTTGTTAACCCGCAAACTTCGCAAAATCTCGCATCAGCGATAAATCTGGCACCACAACCCGCACAAAACATGCCTTCTTCTTGTTGCATGAATTGGCGAAAGGAGTAAGGGAGAAAATGCGCGGGAAATGTCTTGCTGACCAATGGAATCGCGGGGTCCGTGAAAGTGCGCACGCAACCTTTTTTAAATTTTTTGTTTGCAGCGTTCACTTTTTTATTTGCAGCAATCACTTTTTTTTATTTGCAGCGATCACTTTTTTGTTTGCAGCATTCACTTTTTTGTTTGCAGCGTTCACTTTTTTATTTGCAGCGACCACTTTTTTGTTTGTAGCATTCACTTTTTTGTTTGCAGCGTTCACTTTTTTATTTGCAACGATTGTTTTTTCTTTGCAGCGAGTCCCTTGTGGGCCATCGTACTACGAAGTCCTTGGATCTATTGCCAGAAATGATAGACAAAATGGCGGAGGCTGTAGTATGTTGCTTGGAAACGGAGTAACATGTATGGAACAATGAACTAAATTGAAAAATAAAAATGCCTCGAGATGCTGCACATGTTTCCCCGACCTCTCATTTTTTTTCTGAACATCCGACAAATTCGAAAATATAAATGGATAAATTAACGAGACTTCCTCGTAACGTCCAAATGCATGTCAAATAGGGTGTTTTTTTGCTCCAGTGTAACTCCTTCTAGTGTCTGAGATTTGTCTGAGGTATCCTCAACCAATGGTCGTAAGGTTAGGCGTCTTATGAGAAATAGTGGTTCCCAGACCTCGCATAACATTCTCCTGTTGTTGCAGTTTCTTTTAGAGTATTTCGCGGCTTCCTCCCATGCAGGAAATAAGTTTCAAGGGAGCTTAAAAAAGACATTTTATCCTGTAAATACGTCTGCTAATCGACCGTTATGAGTGTGTGTGGAGTTCGAGAAACCACCGTGGTCTTGCAAAATTTCTTTACGACGGGCTTCCATTTTCTTTCTCCCAAAACAATCTTTGTAACCTGGCCTATTCAGCTGTAGAGATAGTCCATGTATGTGGGCACAGAATGTATACCCATTGAAAAAATTGGAGGTTTGAATAAACCATCCATTAGACACGCGCGTTCTAATGCATCGAGGAACTGGGACTTGTTATAGAAAGCCTAGACTTACACACTTGTAAATTTGATTTCAGAAATGCAGATTTCCTTCACATAAGATATAGGAAACCCAAAATATATAACAAAAATGTCAGATGTAATTTCAAGGTACATGCAGAGAAGCTGTCAATGGAAAATCTTTTTTCCAGATCCACCTTTGTCATACATAAAACAGGCAGTAAATATACCATACCTATTACTAAAGATGAAGTATGAAAATGTTCAGGATGGATGTGATTATATTGACTTTCTCAATGCCATAGTTTCCAGATCATGGTTTAGAGTTAGTTTAGAGACAGGCTACCCTATCCAAGGCTGGCTAGAAAGAGAAGCAAGAGTTGTGGCAAGCAAATATAGGCCAACTAAAGGAAGAAAAAGAGAACAGCTTTAGTCAAAATATCTTACTTTAAGCATT